CCCCAAAACCCCAAAACCCCAAAACCCCAAAACCCCTTTGAACGTAATTAAGATTGATTTATCTAATTTTGTATGATCAAGTTATGCCTTAAATAGTGTCATATTTCGGCTATATATGCGTATTAAATTTTAATAATCTTGCAAAATATCTAAAATGACTTTTAAAGTTCTTTAAACTTACCATAAATTGGCCTAAATGCTTCTATGTACTTCTGCCTTCTACTTTACAGAGCTTCAATGACCTTCTTCATCTTTACTAATTCATCGAACTGGGTCCAAGTCATTTTGTTGACAAATGAGGTTGGGATACTTCCTTTTGGATCAATTTTGCCGAGAGAAATTAACTTGCATCTAATGAAAGGTTATAACTGGCAGCTATTTTACATAGATTTGATATTTGGGAGTACAAGCTAAATCTTACTTGTTATCATCAATCTTTGTCACCATGAGCAAACTAATGTTCAATTCTCCTCTTACTCACTTGGTCTCAGGAATCTTCGAATGCATGATAGAGAACTGAATGTTGGCCACTGATCCATCGGTTAGGTTGAGTTTGTGCCAAAAGATTCACATATCTCTGTTTGAAACGAGGAAATTTCCTTTGACTTCTCTTTTGAGTAAGAAAGACTCTGGGCCTAATTCATCCACCACTTCACTCACAATCAATCTTTCACTATTATCAACAAGGTTTGATTGGTTACAGAACCACTCATAGACAACTTCTTGTGGTTTTTCAATAATAGCCTCTCTCAGGACCAGGTCTACTCCTCCATCGACTGATTTCTTCGTCAGAAGCTTAACATCGTTCTTATCTATATCAGACTCATTACTCTTGGTCCAAAATTTAGCCGAGGCAACGACTAAAATCCAGATTCTTGTTCATGGAAAACGCCAAATTTCCTTTGTGGGGTATTACCTTTGTATAGATTCCAGTCTTCTTCGGCAAGGTAGCCGACTGCTTCAGTGAATCTATCCCTGGCTTGAGAGATATAGACTAGAGAAAGGTGAGCAAAGGAGATTGAAAATGGAGATTGGGAATTTGGAGCTTACTTAGGGTTTCTTCACCACCGGCCTCTTCAGCAGTTGGCTCTGGAGGTAATAGGTCTGATACTGTAGTGGATTCCATTAGAATTTAAAATAAATATATTATATTCAAATACGATTTAAAGACACGGGGTTTTGGGGTTTTGGGGTTTTGGGGTTTTGGGGTTTTGGGGTTTTGGGG